AATCAGTAACAACACTGATCGAGAAGTAAAATGTGAAATAGTAACCACATTAAACGGGAATTTACGTGTGACCTTGCTAAAGTGCAGTATCTTGTAGAATTCAAATGCTTTTGGAGTAAATCTTTGTAAAGATTTAGAACTTCAGGGATATATATGTTTTATATTTTAATCATTTGTTCGAAACGCGTCTTAAGTCAGTTTTACATTCATTTTGAAAAACGAAAAATAATCAAGTCTACCATAACTTATACGTTAAATCATGACAGTTATTTTGCTGAATTGTTGTGTCATCAGAGAAGTGTAGATAAAAAAAAAACTTGCCCAAGAGAGAAAATACTAAAAATAACGACGTACATCCTCCCCGTTCAATAAAACACACACTAAAAAGTAGCATATAACTTTTAAGATTTTGCTTTCATATAACATAACAACAGACAATTCTGTAATTCTCACTTTGGGGGAAGCAAGATAAAATGCTCTGACCCACCCAATTCCTTGCATAATTTCTTTAAATTTAAATCTGCATCATTATGCAGATACGGTACACTGGTAGTGTACGCAGGCGCAGAGCGATTTTTAAAAAAATAGTGAAATAAAAAAATAAGAAAATATGTTTTAAAAAGTGTTTAAATCATAAGGTGCGAAACACTTAAACATGGGTTTTTGATTTGTTCTTGCTAGGTTCTTACAGGTTTTACAGATTAATAATGGAAATTAATTGACAATGGTTATGGACAAACTTACAGTTCGAAGAACAAATGGTACATTTTATGCAATCCTTCAAGATTATCTCCCCAAAAAAGATGTCACACAAAACACCAATTGAACATCAGATTTCTGCCTGACCGAACTATATGGAGATGTCAAAATCACATTCAATTAGAAAGGGAACCTGGTTAGAAGGAACAACACTCCCTCTGAAAAAAATTATTATATTTATATATTGTTGAGCCAAAGTAGGCTTATTATCTACGATAGCTACACAGTTTCAAAAGTAGGCTTATTAGCTATGATAGCTGCACAGTTTCAAAAGTATAATAAGCCTACTTTTGAAACTGTGTAGCTATCATAGCTAATAAGCCTACTTTTGAAACTGTGTAGCTATCATAGCTAATAAGCCTACTTTTGAAACTGTGTAGCTATCGTAGATAATAAGCCTACTTTTGAAACTGTGTAGCTATAGTAGATAATAAGCCGCTATGATAGCTACACAGTTTCAAAAGTAGACTTATTATCTACGATAGCTACACAGTTTCAAAAGTAGGCTGTTTTTAAATAAAACCACTACAGTGTATTACTTGAAAAAAAAATCCAAGTTTGTTGTTTATTTAAATTTTACAAGATCTATTTTAGTTTTGTACAAAGTGCTGCAATGCCATTGGTAACTTAATTTTGTGAGGAATGGCGTGCACTACGATTTTTATCTGATTTCTCAATATGTAAACCGTTCATTTGTTATATGGATTTTTATATTGTAGTTATGTTTTTAAATGGCATCATATACAATACCTTACGCACGAACTGATAAAGAAATTATGGCGTACGTTAATGCTACCACGAACTAAAAGGGTTATATGTATATAATAGTTCAAAACGTAACATTTTTTGTTACTGGTATTCACGACTCGAAACTTCTAAGTGTTTTGGTTATAATAGTTAATATATATATATATGGGACGGGGTGACAGTTTAAAGCTTTTTGTAGTTTTTATTGTGTTATATATTCTTCCTAGAGTTGAAATGTTTTCAGAGCAATAGAACGAACAGCATGAATAAAAAAGTTACTTGTTCAACAGGCAAAGTATAACGGTAAAACTTGCTGTCCTTTGAACAAATCAGGCGATATGGATCTCCAACCCCGGAGGTCACGTTGTTTACGTCAGTCGAAGTGTGTCTTTTCATCGCTCTGACCTTATATTTATTTAACTTTATTACTTTTAATATAATATTTGAGTTTGTTTTCGCTGAATGTAATGTATTCTATCTCACTAGCTAGATTTAGCTTATTTAATTAGTAAATTGACTAACAACGTTTTTTTTTTAAACATAGCGAAAAATGTTCATGTATAGAACGTAATACATGTTTCAACTTTGGGCTGTTTTCTTCAGAACTTAAACCAACGTTCTTGTTGAAACGTGTAGTATGTTCTCTATCTAAAAATATAACATTATGCTTATAAATCGTTGTTGGTCAACTTACTGTCATATTAGCATAATGTACGTCCGTACAGAAGTAGCTTATTTAATCTTTAGAGCTGGATTTATTTTAAATTTTTTAGATCCGAGTTCAACTCGGTTCTTAGCCGGATTTAATATTTCAGGCTTTCTGGCTTGATTTACCCTCTTCTGTAATTAAAGCTAAATTTAAATTTTGGCTTATCGTGTTTTTCTGTTCAAATTTAGCTTATTTTAGCCTTCTGATTTAGTCCACTATTTTCTATTATTGTTTCCAGATTTAAATTACCCTAACCTTCTATAGCCAACTTTATTATTGTATTTATAGCCAGAATAAAGTTATTCCGTATTTATAGTCTTTTAGTTTGTTGTTAAACTTAAAGCTACACAGTGGGTTATCTGTATCTTAACTGCCATAGGTATCGAAACCCAATTATTAGTGTTATAAGCCCTCAAAGTTACCGCTTAGCCACTGGGATGCTATTTATATTTGGATTTACTTTATTTTACGCTTTTATATAGATGGATTTGGTTTATTCCCTTCTTTGGTTATATTTAGCATATCCAAATTTTGCAGCCGGATTTAGCTTATCCGAATACTTAAATTTCAGAATGGCGTTAATGTACCGTACAAGTTACGCGATATCCTTTATCTGAGTCCTTTCACCAACAGATAGGTTAATATGTATATAATAAATTTCTCAGTTAAGAGAAGAGTTTAGCAAGATACTCTAATACGGATTTTGAAGAGCGGTGAGTATTATATATATAAGGACAAGCAGTCCTATGACAGGGAGGCGGCTGTGTAACCATAAGAAAGCCCTAGTCCTTGTCACCGTTCTGCTTCAGTCTGCGAGTCTCTTCCCGGCTATTTTTGTTTTCGGAGAGGATGCCAAGTTAGCGCAACCTGAACTAAAGACTTACCTCACGTGCCTTCTTCTCGTCGCTGTAACAAAAAAGTTCACTAGCACTGACGAGACTTCTTTAACCGTTGTATATGATACACCAGGCTCAAAGAAGTTCAAAATGATAATGAATAGGCGTCGAAAGCATAGAGAATCTAGCTGAAAAATTCATAAAGATTACATGTCAGTTGATGGCGTGTTTTATCCCACATCTGTATTGTTAGTTAGTCTCGCTGCAAGTCCTTTCGCGTGGCGATCTAGATCACACGTATAAAAGGAAGATACACCTGAATACTCCTGCTGTCCACGCTTTCCCATTATTTTAATAAAGGGTGTTTTACAAATCACACAAAAATGGAGCTACTTGTATTTACGTCTACATGACAAACAGCAAATTGAATTGCTGTAGTACAACTGATTAAACACCTAAATTGACGAATTATTGGGTCTGTAGGCTTAACGAAGGTGACAAAATCGAGCGTGACTTGATTTAATATTTGTTTATACATGAATTTATCACCGAAATGCAGGACCACCCCGTTTGGTGAACGTCTCCTTCATCTATATCCCTGAATTGATAAGATCTTATGCTGAGCTGATACTGTTATTAGGCATCATTAAAGTTAGTGTTTTCTATTGTAAGTAGCGTTAGTGTTTGGGTTTGATTATGTTACAAAAATTTGTAACGAATACGATTTATATACATATGGACTAAGTCTTTATGGCATAATATTGATGTTGGAGGTCATATGATAATTATAAATTTTCATATTTAAATTAAAAAGGCCAGTACTGTAATTAAATGTACACTAATAATGGAATGTGTCTGTGTATTTAAGGCGAAGATGGCAGTAACCCCCGACACCAGATGGCGCCACATCAACTGGCTGTAGAACTAGATAAAAGGTTAAGCGTTATCAGCGGTAAGTCTTTGAACTACTTCTTATCTTGTAGATTACAAGAGTTAAATCGCTTCATATAGTATGTAATGTCATTTTTTTATGAATAAAATTTTAATAAGTTAAATGTGGTTAACTAGTATGTTGGATAACTTTTCACTCAGTATGCCGCTGAACAGGCTCTACATTTCCAGCTGTGGGGACTTTATAAATTTGACATTCCATCTCGTAACTATATGAGCAGTAGGTGCTGCTGATTGGCCCCCCCCCAACCTCCTCTGTTCAAGGGTAAAAATTCTTGAACGTTATGGGTGTCTGATCTGGCCGTTTAAAACGTGTCAAATAAGACTAAAAATATTAATTCACTGGTCAGGTACGGCACCTGATGAGTGAAAGTGGGTATTCTTGGGGTACTTCTGTTTTCCCTCCACAGAAAAATTCCATGGCATTAGATTTATAGATCCATGCAGCCCTGAAAAACCCTTTGTCCCACAGGGGCCGCCTGTTTTGAGAAGCTACAAGGTGTGAATCTCCTACTTTTTCTGCCATATCCATTCAACTTTTCTTCCTTTTTCATGAAGAGTTTCTAATAAATCATTACCAAGAGCGGGGCGAAGAGGAGTCACATGATCCCTGAACACCCCTGGTTTTAAAGCAACCAAAATTCCTACCACGTTTTTTGTTTGGAAAATATTTATATCATACATTCGGAATACTACTTTGTCACAACTGTTATTTTATAATTAGAAAGTCGGTGATTAATCTCTCATGTCTGCTTTGAATTTTAAGTTAACTTTTGGGCGTTGGTAGATTTCTAAATTTCGGAGCTGGCGAGCCGGATTGGAATCCGTGCATTATCACAAAATATTCCCTGCACTTTAAGCTGTGGGTGCGTTATAATAGTGACAGTCAATTCCCTAGCATGTATTAGGGTGCTGTTGACTGGCTGCCTTCCTTCTAGTCAGTAGTTCAAAACTAGGAACATCTGCAGATTAGCCTTAGTATATTTAAATACAAATACATGCAAGTATAGTTTCTAATTTATTTCGTTCTACATG